GCTTTAGAATGATCTTGAGCAAGTAGAAGAGCAGATAGACTAGTATACACACATGGACCACTAAGGAACCTACCTGGCCCTCTGAGGATTACACACATAACAGGTCACATGATAGTATAAAAAAAGTAATAAAATTAGTGTTGAAAATCACATTCTGTCATCTAAAGAAAGAACTTTTTATTAACATCGTGGTATCTGAACTGGTATTATCAAGTCTAGTCCTGAGTATAGAAATCAAGTAGTAATACAAAAGTGCATTCGTTTTTTAAAGCCCTTTACCACATTCTCAAATTTCACTTACAGCTGTGTGCAATATTCATTCAGTGTTCATACTCTGTGAAGGCAAAGTACTACAGTCACAGTTAAGACTTCTTTTGCAGGAGTCATCTGTTTAACTCTCCGATCACATCTTGGGTTTGGTTAATATCTGTGTCATTACTGGGCCTATCCACTGGCACAAAGTTCAGCGTCTTTTCTGTCAGCACAAATTAGACTGAAATGGATTTTTCTCTTTATAGCTTCAGAAACTTGTACCATTACTTAACCTCAAATGTCAAGTCACTGCCATCAGATGAAAGGACTTTAAGCCATAAGATTAATATGACAAGTTTGTGGAGCCAGACTCAAACAAATAACAATGAGTTTCAATATTTGTGGATCAGAGTTTTGAAGATTTCTTTCAAAAACAGAAATCTCCCATAGAGTTACATACAGCCTTTTATATATATTACACTATGAATCATTATGAAGTACTTTATGAAACCTCTGACACGCTGTCTTGGACATGTTGGAGACTTGTGGTTCCATTATCCATCAGTGTTGTGGTGGTGAGCGCTCAGAGGGTGGGAGGTGGGAGGTGGGGGCAGTGAGCTGAGAGGTGGTAATGACAGGGTTAGGCTGTGGTCTACATACACATGGGACGAACGTGGAGACATGATAATGACATACTCTATAGAAAGGGCATAGGACCCATAACCTCGGGTCAGACAGCCGGGCTAATGATCTCTTGTCATTCACCTCTACAATCTATAATTCCACAGCATGGCATTAATCTTCTCCATGGAGACGAGCAGGTGACATGTTTTCATGGAACAGGTTTGGGAATGCTGTAGATTCAAGCCCATCGATCTGCCCATGGAGCTAAAAGTCCCAGTATGTAACTTTTTGCCAAAAAAACAAAACAAAACAAAAAAACACACACTAAAAAGGAGCATGGATTTTTCATTACGGATGTATCTATTGCAGTACAAATTGCAGAAAATCCTTGTTCTAAGTGGGCTTGCATCTCCATAAACCTGACTCTTATTTGGCCTGTTTGTCTCCATGGAAATGTTGTTGACTATAATATTCAACACTCCAACACTACAGCATAAATCAGCTGTTGTTACAACAAGTAAGAAGAAACATGTCAACAAGGTAAATACACTTTACTATATTGTCTTTAAAAAGAACCCAAGCAGTTAAACTATAACATAAAATATATGGGGGATGTTCCTAAGTATGGTTTTAAATTTCCGTTTCCATGGAATCATGCAGTTGACTTACCATCACCAGGAAGTTACATATTATCACTTTAAAATGCAATAGTAAATTTCAATACACAGTTCCTATAATAAAACAAGAATCACTGAAATAACTGAATAACTTGAAAGTGTGTGAAGTTTTTCAGTTGTTTTATGCCTAGATAGTTCAAATCTTGTCTGTTTTTATATCTGATAGGGTCTTTGTCAAATAGAGAATCTGCCTGAACAACAAAAAGATCATCTGATGTTAAAGTTCTTTCAAACTGCTGCACGTGTGGGTGGTGTGCTCTGGGTGGCTGAAAGCCTGTAGTGCTGTGTCGCTGCCTGCGGGTGGCGCTCTGCATGTCCCTGTGATGAGCAGAACCTCTGTGTGTTTAATTGGTCCCAGATCACAGTAGATCAGACTGGGCTTCCCTCTCCCCAGACGACTCTCGCTCAGTCAGGCCTGTTAGTGAAGGCAGCCTGTTGTGTCTGAACCTGACCCACTCTCGTCTCACTCATGTCTATGTGCACAGTTGTTTTTTTTACAGTGTAGTGCTTTTCTACAAACGGTTGTCAAAACTATGAAAAAACAAATATTAGTCCAATGTTTAAACTTATTCAAATTCATCTGAACATGTGTCAATACTAAAAAAGTCTCATTCACAGGACAGAAATGAGCCTCCCGTGAATAACTTTAGAACTGTGCTGTATTATTTGGTTTTCTTGAATGTGACAATGTCATTCTTCCAGATGGGAAGCAAGGGCCAGTTTTTTCTATAATTATATAGTATTTTGTCATGAAATATCCAAAAGGTAAATTCAAAAATATGGAACATGATCATTGCTATTATTGAGCAGACTTAAACCAGGCTCTATTACTACAGAAATCTGCAGATGGACAATATTCATTTTAGCTGCCGCCATCTGTATTAAATAATACTGTTCTATAGAATGATATGATGTCACCTGAAATCCAGCCATCAGAACAAGTGTAAGAGCACAGACTATAGACTAGTGTACACTCATGGACAGATATGGAACCTACCTGGACCACTGAGGAATTACACACATATGGAAATATGATTTAATGTTGAAAATCATTTTCTATTATCCACATAGTGTTTTTATTATCATCCTAGTATCAAAATCATTATTGAGAATCAAGTCCATAGAACAGGAATCGAGATTCATTAGTATGTAAATAGAGTTTGAACTTATATCATTGTGACAACATTAAATTCAACAGCAATAATCCATGAAAAGAATTTTTCTTTATTTTACCTAAATACTTTTCCATCTTTGTCTTGTCCACATGTTTAAAGCAGATCTGCTCATTATTCTCTCTGTGCTCAAACGGCTTCTACGCACCATCACAACAGGCTTCTACACATGTTTACCAAGCTCCGTCTGAACAATCCTTCAAGTGGAAGTACTGTGAAACCCGGAGTCAGTGCAGGCGCTTGAACACATCCATCTCCATAGCTGCAGCTCAGTGTGAGGCGCGGTGCGTTCAGGCGCTCTCCGGCTGACAGATGCACCGCAGCAGTTGGCTCTGATGCATTTTTAAACAGGCACAGAGGCAGACTGCAAGCGAAGGGGTCGCACTAGAGATGTGACTGAGTCCATATACTAATGTACACAGCAGCACGCCTCAGGTTCATCATGAGAGACCATCAGTCAGCACAGGGCATTCGAAATGCTTTATAGTAAAGTGTGGTCACACTGAGGTGACCATGGCTAACACAGCTGTTAGTGTAGAGAAAGTAAGGAGCAAGGATTATTAAGTGCCATTTTATTTCATTATTATGATACTATGATCACAGCACAGCTTTGAGTCCTCACACGTCCATTAGGATGCATCACTGGATTATATTTGTGAGTAAAAAACTGTGGCACAATGGCTGGTACTCTTGTAGTTTGACTCTCAGGCTGCTCAGGCTTTCCTGTGTGGAGTTACATGGTTCTCCCCATGTTTGGGTCTTATCTTGGCACTCCCATCAACCTAAAACATCCACCAACAACCAACGTAGTCCTGACTAAACCTAGTTCAACATCTGAAGTAACAGCACCTATTGCCACAAACAGGTCACTTTAACCTTAAGAAAAATGTCATTATTTCATAACTGGCAATTTAGTTGTGGTTTGTGTCGCTTAGAAGTTGAAATATGCTACGTAAATGTGATAATTTATCACTTCTTTATAAAGTATATTTTGTGTATTTTTTTGGAAATGAAATAGTTGGACTGGTGTTTTTTCTCAGCACATATGTCTGGAGGTAACTCTATTGAAAGCACTTGTATTGGCTTAGGGCTCAGGGCTTGTGTGAATGCCTGGCTGCAGATTTCCTCTGTCATACTATCAGCTGGTATTGCTTGTTTTGTGCTGTGTTCTTCTGTTCACACACCTTCTTTTCTAGGTCGACTCTTTTCACGCGCTTTCCACACTTTCTCTGATGCATCTTAAACAGCGACACTGATAATAACACATTTATGATTTGTGAATTATGTAGTTTTGTGAGAACATGTTTCCAGGAAAGGCTTATGAATCTTTGAAGGCTGCCTTACCATTTTTGCCTCAGAGTTTCCAGTCTGCGCCTTTTCAATTCTGTTTGATGACATGTTTTGCAGGTAACACTGAGGTCACAGACAGCTGCCAAACTTGAATCATCTCCAGATCTTTCATTTTATATTTATGTGTATTATTATTATTATTAATTTGTGTATCTTTCTTTAATCATGTTATTAATTTGAAAATATTGCAAGGATAATTCACCCAATGTCTAATTTGAATGAATAATTGTTGGTTATTACATTCCATTTAATTGGTTATTTAATTCCATGAATTCATTATTTATTTTTAAAAAGTTTAATTTGGTGAGTTATCCCTAATATTTTCACATGTTTTCTGCAAAGCTGCTCTCACTCCCAAGGCTCTACTGAAAGTTGGCATATTTTATTTTATCACTGGTTTGACTGCAAAGGGGAAAAAAGAGGAATAGGCATTTACAGTAAGGAGGACAATTGGACAATTAAATAAAAGGAAAACTGTAAATGAAAATAAATAAATAAAAATCTTATATAGTTGTGTAGATAGAGAAGGCCTAGTTATTACAGATTAGCAGATTTTAAAAGGCCAAGTTACTACACATTAGCCATAAACTAGTTTAAAACATAATGTATTATTTCACATACTACAAATTCGAACATAGTTCTGATCTCATTACTGTTTCTTTTCAAAAACGTTATTTACTTTGTTTTAACAAGTAACAGATAAAACATAATAATAATAATAATAATAACTTCTTGGATGTTAAGATTTGAACCCAATTAATCAACTTGTTATTGATGAAAACAATTGGAGTTACAAATAGTAAAGTTAGTCACATTTGTGCCAGACCTGTGGATGTAATAAGCCTTGAGGATGAGACACTGCAGTCTGTATTCTCTCAATACAGAATTCTCCCATTGACCCTGAATGTTGCTTTTGTCATTTCAGGTGCCCATCAGCATAACTATAACCATGTGGCGTTAGGTAGCCCCACACGCACCCCTAAAAATGGTAAGAGCCCGGAGAAGCATTCATATGTGCCAGTGAGCTGTGTTGAGCGCGCGGCAGGGGTGTCCTCTCGCACCATAACTCTTCGCTGTCATCTTAATTGAAGGGATCAGTGTAAGGCTTTGACAGGGCTACCTCTCTCCCATCTCGCAGTGTTACATCGGTGAAAAGGCGCGTATTAATTACTGTAAGTCGCACAGATGTTGGCAGAGTGCTGGGAGGTGGGGTACGGCGGGTATGGGGAGGGGGGGTAATGGGGGGCACAGCCTGGCAGATGTGAGACAGCGCCAGGAGCAGGTCTGTGGGGAGGGAGCGCACTATGAATATTCACATCGGAACAAGTCACTGTTTGTTTTAGAGCAGATACAGAGAATAATGCTTCTAGTGTACAAGCAGCCGGTGTGATACAGTGGAGCGCTTCAATTAAAAATTAGACATAAGAAATGAAAAACTGTCAACTGTAAATCTTCAATGGCTCAAAAGTGCCCAACCAAATCATATATATTTAAAGTTCATGACAGGTGACACTATTCATTTCACTAAACAGTATTTCACTTCACTGGAGCAGCAATTATGACATACGTGGAGGTAATTCCATAACTGTTTCCGAGCAACTAGTAAACAAGGGCTAAAAGTTTACTAAATTCCACATTAATTATGATTAGAGTATTAAAAAATAGATACAACTATACATACAAATAGAACAACTATTTTATGACATACAGTAGGTACATGTTTTAGAACGTTCTTCTTGCTACTACTTCCTATATATATATATATATATATATATATATATATATATTTTTTTTTTTTACATTTCTCCTCAACTTTTTTTTCCCACAACTGTTTCTTAGCTGCTAAAACTATGATAATTATTCACAACAGGTACTACCCCACCAAACCAAGTCAGAATTTAAAAAAAAAAGTGTGACAAACTGTGATATGCATTTCAACTCCGACATTGTAGCGATAGTTGATACTAGTGGTTTATGTTTCAGTCCTATAAGGCTCCTACAATTCAGTGATGCAAATTTGTTTTATTTAGTTAAACTTTAATCATTTGCCTGGAATGTTCCACAGTATAACCTCTTATCATGCATGTATTCAGTTATGGGTGTTTTATTGCCCAAAACACGGCCATGAGCCTAGATAACTTGGTCTGGTAGTGATGATCTGCTTGTCTCCATGGAGAAAGATCATTTTAATGCCATACTTCTGAACATTTCAGGGCGATAATATCATCATGGAGACATGCAGAATAATTTTGGTCACTCCCAACGGCGTATAGTATTGGAGCTTCCTTTGCCTTTCTTAGCCTTTCTAGTGAAGGCTCCTGTGCCAGAACCGGGTGTCAGAACAGTTGGCAGATCGCTGGCAGCAGCACCATTTCAACAGTCTCGCACTTCAATATCATACATTTACACCAAGAGAATTTCAACACGAACAATACTGCTTTCCCATAATTTAAGTCCATATGAGAGGTTTTCACATATCTGTGGTCAATATTTATCATACTTATTCAGTCAAGTGGCATTTTTGAAGAAATGTTTAAAATAAAAGTACAGGAAGTAGCACAGAGTACTAAAAGGACTCCCAATCCAAAAAGTTAGTACACTGAAGAAGGTGTTTACATGTAGTTGTGTAAATTAGTGGGACCCTTTCTGGACACTGTGGTTGCTGGGTAACAGTTATGAATTACCATCTGTCACACCTACTGATACTTTGCAGTACCATTTGATCCTGGGGGTGTTCTATGTGTATATCTATGGTGGAATGTTCAGCAGTTACCATGGTGACACAATTCACACATTACCAAACATGAAAAAATGGTGAGACAGTCTGAAAACTCAAGACAAGACTAAATGGATTTAAGCAAGACATTTTAGTTGTTTGATTTTCAACAAGAAAATTAAAGTGACTAAATTTGCTAATTCTGTTTATGTGTTTATGAGCACAAATCTGCTCACCTGTGGTAGTTTCAACCAAAATAGTTATTTTTGTTCAGATTGTCTTGAAATAAATTCAGAATAAGTTCAGATTAAAGCATCACACCACAGGGAATGTTGATGACATTTGCTGCAAAGTATCAATGGGGAACGAGGGGAAACTAGGTATGTTTTATAGCACAATATGAAATATTACATGTTGTTTATGCATTTGTGAAAGACGTAGTCAAACCTGTACAGTTACAGTACAGTATGTCAGTTTCTGGAGGTGACACTTCACCTGAATAGAAAGTTAAAGTCATACTTCTGACATTTTCTGGCATACTGTGGAATAGTATAGACAAAGACGCAACATTCCCATGGAAAAAGTGGGTTTGTAGAGATGCAAGTTTTTCATAGAAAGGACTCTTTTTTTCCATTGCAATAAACAATCTTTTAAAAATAAATAAAATACTTTTATTTTTCATCAATGTTTTGGCTAAACGTTGCATACTGTGGCTTTAAGTGAGATACTTTTTTTTTTTAATCTAAATTGAAACATACATTATGGGGTTCTGATAAGTGCGTCAGAGATTTATGCCAGGATAAAAATGCAAGGTGACCAGGTCAGAGGAGAGGGCTTTGAGTCCAAGCAGCAGGTGACTGAAATGTGTGTTCTTGGCTTTGGTTTGGTAGCACACCGGTCGTTGAGGCGTGGTAAGTCCAGACTCGTGTGGTGTGATGTCGCCATCATTCTGCATCCCTAACCCCTTCACCCCTCCCCTCCATGGTGCCAGTCGCCGTGACAAATGTCAAAATCGCAATGTTTCTTCCCACAGCAATTGTCCCATAATCCTCACCTGAAAAAGAGATTTGACATTCAAACTCCCCAGCTGTAGTCCACTCCACTGCTCCAGGTCAGATACAGATACAGGAAGGAAAAGGCTCAGAAAACTGTGACAAACATACTGGACTGAGCATCCTGTCAGCATGTCAAGTCATGGAAAATCAGTCTTAGAATGACACAGTCACATTTATCCTGATTGGACTACATTTCCATTAAAGGTGCACTATGTTACTTTTCTGTTGGAAGATCTGCCACCTCCTTGTGTTACATGACTTGTGTAATTGGTGGTGACAGTGGCTCAGTGGTTAGAGCAGAGCTCCCCCCACCTGAAGGTTTGAGGATTGATTCTTCTTCACTTCATTGTGTTCACCCACCTACGAAAGTGGTGTGGTTGGGCCAATAGTCTGCCCCAGGGCAGCTGTAGCTAAAATAGTTGTTTACCACTACTGAGTGTGGAGTGAATGAAGAACGACTACAGTGGAGCTCTTTGAGAGCTTACGACAAGCCTGTAAAAGAGCTATTCATTTCTTAGCAACTTCTACCATCACCAACTTTCCAGGCAAAACAATAACATCCTCGTGGACATGAGTGTGGTGGTGGGTAATGTCACTCAGAAAAATCACATAGTGCAGTTTTAAACAGAAATGTCTGTGTAATATTAATAAAACATGTGTAACTTGAAACAGTTATACAAACTTGCTAATTCGCTAACTCTATCCACAGTTTGACATGGCAAATGATCAATCAGGTTTTTTGTTAGCATAGATTAGCGACGAGAAAATGTTAGATGCAACACTGATTTTCAAATCAGTCGACAAGTGCACCAAGTCAGAGATGTCATCAGAGAGCAGAGCATGACTCACACATGCTGTTCAGGCCTCAAACAGGAAACAGGAAGTGCATACATTATATCTGCATTTCAACATTTGTCCATTTGACTCCTACAAGATGTTACTTTTTAGAAATAGACATGTGATTTTATTCATAAATACGTATATAAAACAGTCGATATGCAGGCAGCAGTCCAGCTTCAACTTTACACAGCTGTAGATGAGTTCTGGGGACATGGTACTTTAAAGTGCCCATATTACACAATTGTCTGATCTATGTTATAATGTTGTTATCTCATCAAACACATACCTGAGTTCTTCTCTCAAACAGAAAACACTCTGTCCCACCTTGTGATGTCATGTGGTAATACAGGGAGTGCTCCATTGTGTTTTTAAACTCATTACAGCTTCACTTGAATCAAGACATTTCCACTCAAAAGGTAAAAGGTAGTTGTTAGCACCACTACATGACATCATAGGGTGGACCAGAGCATTTTGGCAGAGTTTTGAAGGTATAAATAGAGTAACAATGAAGAGTTACTCAAACATACAACTGCAGGTATGTTTGGATGAGGAAGCAACATTTGAACCTGGCTGAAAACTACAAGAGTTCATTTTGTGTAATATAGGACCTTTAAGTCTCTGTAGCAGAACCAATTAAATTCAAATCTTGTTTCAAAAGAATTCAAATAAATCCTCAGTCTAATACCGCTTTGATTAAGAATTTAGGGAGTTCGGCATGGTTTCAGACAGTGCTGCTCGTCTACTGTCCTGGCACAGTTCTACACCACATCCGTCCAACATTTGCTCATTAAAGCCTTTATTACACATTGGTGGAAAGAGTAGTGGAAATTTATACTCAAGTAAAAGTACAGTTACAGGTCCAGTATGATGCTCAATTGATACTTTGCAGTGACATTATGCTCAGCATGTTCTGTGGAGGAATGTTCAGCAGTTTCCATGGTGATACAATCATTATCACACTGCAAAAAAGTCTGAAAACTCAAGAATAAATACAAAATGGATTTAAACAGCACATTTTCATGAACTGTGATCATTATGAGTGTTCATGGTCCTGCTCAGGTGTTTAATTTTCAATCAAAAAGATGAGAGAGACTAACTGAAAAAGAAAAAAAAGAAAAGTTTTCTAATGCTAGCTAGTTTGTAATTTTATGTGTGAGAAACTTAACAGCACTAACCTGTTGTAGTTCCAATTACTGAATTTTTCGGACTATAAAGGCACACTTAAAATCCTTGAATTTTCTCAAAAATCATCAGTGCACCTTATGTATTAATTCTGGTTGTGCTTCCTGACCTCAGACTGATTTTATGTGGTACATTGTGCTCAAAAATGTTTTAGTACAACTTTGGTAAGCTACAAACCGCTCCGCTTGATGAATTGTTGGAGCATTACCGCTACGGTAGTCAGGAGCCTCGAGGAGTAACACAAGGAGTGAGCTGTTTTTTTTTAACAATTCTAGTTTATGCAAATAAGTCACTTTTGTTTCTATAAAATGTAAACAAATGTGTGCAAAGCTGCATTAAACACATTATTACTCAATGTATATTTGAGTCGTCCTCATAAGAAATAAAAATCCAAACTTAAATGATCCACCCACATTCATATTCATAATCCACATTCACAAAGACAGGGAGGCAACACCGGGCGAGTTACGCCACGATCTGCCGATGGATCGTAGACGGCTGGACTAAAGATCAGTCTCAAATGTCATCTGTTTGTTTCGCTTAATCCGCTTTATAATCCACTGCACCTTATGTTTGAAAATAGTCGAGATAATTCAACATTATTGATATTGCGCTTTATAATCCAGTGCATTTTATAGTCCGAAAAATATAGGTAGTCAGCTCGTTCTGACTGTGTTAAAATAGTGCTGCATTCTCTTGTGCTCGGGAGTCAGGGAAAATGACCTCCACCTCGAGACAATGCAGTGGAACAGCTGATCAAATCAGGGTTCTGAAACACAATCTCGGGCTAGTTGACAGTAGACCGAGTCGGGTGGATTTGTGAACATGTAATAGTCAAACTGACATAACTGAATTAACGTTAGCTAACAGACTTGATTTATTAGCAGGAGCTAGCGATACCTGACGTTAACTACATAAGCTAACAAAATAAACATTAAACGTTCACGAGCATTCATATATTCCCGACTGTTGCAATGGAATGTATCTACAACAGATGTCGGCAGAACTGACTCAGATTTATCGACTACCGACATTTAACAGAACACAGCATTAAGCTCAGATTAATGTGTCTACAAAGTGTCAAACAGAGCAGTGCCTCCAGTTAGAGTCAACTCTCCAGGGACTGTTGATGACATCAGCTGCAAAGTATCAATTGCTATTACTGCTGCAGATGTGTACTCAAGTGAATTAAAAAAAAAAAAAAAAAGGTACACATTAAAACACTACTTAGTACTACTATTTTAGAAACACTTTACACACACATTTTTATGCAAACTCCAATCAATAAACAGAAAGAAGCAGAGACAGAAGTGAATAGTAGGGACTTTACTCTCCAGAATTTCTATGAATTATCATGTAACTAATCACAATTACATACTAGAATATACTGATTTACATACAGTCTACTCCAGAAAGTACCCCAAAAAATCTACTCTATTACATTGACATGAGTTTTAGTATTTTCCACCTCTGGTACTACAGTTAGAGATTTCAATCAGAAAACTGATTTTGTAATCAGACACATGTGAGTTGATGGTGTCCTCAAAGTCCACCCTCAGCTTGGCTGTAGTGACAGGAGCAGATGGGCGATTAGACAGGACCACACCTGCACTCTCCTGTCTACAAATGCCACACACTCTTGTCTGTCTGCTATTGTCCTGTCCCGCTGTGGACACTGTGTCTTCTGGTCCAGTGTCCCCTTTCTTCACCTGTCGCACCTGTCCCAAACTCTCTCACAGCCATGTGACCACCTCCACCACGCCTCGGGCAAACTGGAGTCAAACATGCAGCGATCTCCTAAAAGTTGGAGTAAATACATAAAGTTCGCCCACAACCACATTTCAAATGGGTCCTCCTCTAAGTCCTAAAGGGGAGGGAGATTTAGAGGACTAAAGGGGAGAGTGAAGGGCAAGAAGGGCAATGTCTGAAACTACAAGAAAAAGTGTAGCAAAAAAGTGGATTTGGTGTTTAGTTCCACTTAAGCTACAAAGAGGAACATGACCAAAGCTTTGTCATCCCCATAATTCACAGTGATTAAGGCAGTGCTGGCACTGATTTAACACATATACACCACTCCCAGTCAAAAGTTTGGACACACACTCCTATTTAGTGTTGTTTTTCTTTATGTTCACTACTTTCTACATTTTAGTTTTGCACAGAAGACCGCAAATATATGATGTAAGATATATGCAATTATGTAGCAAAGCAAAAAGTGAGATAACTCAAATAGATTCAAATTTCTCAAAGTATCCACCCTTTACTTTGTTGACATCCCTGCAAACCATTGGCATTCTCTCTCTGAGCTTTACAATACAGTAACCTGAAATGTTTTTTAACTCAAGGTGAGCCATGCCAGGATCCAGAAATGCCGACTGATAAAAGCAGTGATCAAAACATATCTGAAATCAGTTTGGAGTTATTTTGTTTTCTACATTCCGCACATGTCATTCACAGTTTCGATGCCTTCAATGTCATGTGAAACAAACCGTAAATGAAAAGTATGTCCAAAGTTTTGACTGCATAAGTGAATAACTCCTTAGCTGGAGTTGTCGTCACAGGCGTCCATACATTTGTTGTTGTCAAAGTGAGTTGGGCGGTGCTCTCCTTCAGTGCCTAAATCCCCAGCACACATCAATAGCAGGTCTGGGTGGAAGCTATGGCCTTGGCAATAACAATCAATTATTTACACCTCCATTTACACCTCAGTCAAAGGTCTGAAAAACACCTCAATAATTGATGTGAAAGTAACTAGTGCCATGAATTAAAATGGGCTCACAGGAATTCAATCACGGCGGTGTGGACACAGCCCTGTGTTTGTGTTAGGAGAGAAGCAGCAGTGGCCTGTATCAGGGGAGGCAGCTAGCATCAGCGCTGACGCATCGCAATGAACAATGAGAACTAAATGAGTTTGGCTGGCCCTCGTTTAACCCGCTTTATGAGGATGCACATTAAATAACACTTCATACATCTTATTCCCCAAACATGGACCACAAATCAGAGTCACAATTACTTTAAGTCAAACTTAAGAGGGGATTCTTTTACTCACAGACATGCATTATCACCACAAGACACAAATGAAAAACTAAACATCAATCACGTGACAGTCAGAGTATGACCCGTGCCTTCTGGAAGTCCCTGCATGATCAGACTCCCGAGTGCCCAGAGGCAGACTGTCCTCTTCAGCGAAACACTGTTTCTTACCACTCAGTCCTAGTCCACTCAGTCTTGGCCCACTCAGTCCTGGTCCGGTCCATCCAGGGTGTTGGGGTGTCCGGGCGTGTCCACACGTCCCATGTTGTCTCCCTCTGTATGTATGTGTCCTCAGAGAACAATCGGATCAGTGGGATCCTGACCTCGCAGACGGAGCCCTTCGACCTGTCCTTCTCACGCTCCTTCCAGAGCCTGTCGCACCTGCCGCCGTCCTACGAGGCGGCTGTGGCGGCCGACCTCAGCCGCTTCTCCTCCCTCAAGAAACTCAGTAGGTCCTAGTGGCCTGGTGGGCCCAGCTGCCTGAGGATGTGTGCATGATGCTTCCCTCTGCTCCCTCTGCACTGTGAGGGCTCCTGGTCTGTGAGAATGCCCAAACCCTGTGGAGGTCCACCACCCACAAAGCACAGGACACTTTTGACAATGTTCTTCTCTTATAGACAGACATCTACCCTGTTCCTAATCACTAGAACATATGTTCTGATCCCCAAAACATGATTTAGCATTGTAGGCCTGGGAGCACGAGCATTTCAGAACAATATGAAAAGATCATAATCTCAAAGCAGGTGCATTTTTAAGTTTCCCTTAAACCTCATAGAAATAAACGACATTGCACCTACCTTCTAATATCTGGGTGTACTTTTCTGGTATATTTTCAGAAGGATTCTCTCATCAAAGCCATTATTTGTATTTGCAAGCATTCACTGTGATTTTGACTACTATATATGATCAAATCCTTGAGCCAAAGTCAAATAAAGCACACACATGATAGTGGAGGATGATTGGCTGCTCCCTCTGTCTGAGCCATGGGCTGTGACTCATTGATATTCCATGCTCCCCTTGTCTAGCCTTAAAACAGGCCCATTTCTCTGGAGCAGTAACTGCCTGGCCTGCTCCTATTGATTTAGTGCTCTGCTGGATTCTGCTGCGTAATGAGCTCTCCTCTCATCATATTCTTTAAGTGGAACGCAAATATTCCTTAAGGCCGCTGTAATTCCATCAGGCCCATGGTCTCAGTGAAGGATGGCCCTCCACCATTCACTCGGTCACTCTACTGCCAGAGACCATTTCACAGCAAAGTGCCAAACAAGTCTGCAGCCGCCATTGTATTAGCACAAAACAAAAGGCATTACACCCTGTGCGCTGGAGCCCCATTTGCATAATGCTTTGTGATGGCTGTTAAATCAGCAGCTCCTCTCTTTAGTCCTGCACAAAAACATCCTCCGGCTCCTTCCTTCCAGAGCTAATCATTTGTGGGGGAATATCACAGTGGCACTTTTCTTTGGCTCGTGTCAGGTCGGTGCTGGGGAAAGATGGAGCAGCGTATTTCATTGTGCCCATAATATTAGTGCTTATTAATGCAAATTGGTATGAGGACTCAACACATCCGGATCACTCTCTCACGGCGGCATCACAATAAAGCTGATGCGTGTGCAGGTTGCCGGAGACTATTAAGGCCAAGAGAACATGGAGTTTGGATCGTGTGGTAATGAGTGGATCTGCAGCTCGGGCCCGGGGCTGGAGTGTGTGTAGACAGGTGGCCCGAACTACTGCGATGAACACACAAGTTTGATTTCCGAATAATACTCATTTATTTCCCATTAGCTGGCTCTGATTTATGTGCATAATGGATCTGTGGTGAATGTCGTCATTAGATGTGATATGGATGTTGCATTGTGTCCTTGGATCTCTTGTAAATGTGCCACTGTTTGTCTCGGAGCATGTCATGTAGCGCAGCATGGTCTTCACATGGACACAGGCGTATGTATACAGTGGGGACGTGAGGCTGTGATGTGGCACTGACACTTGGAGCATGTGCGCTGGTGCCTGCGCGCTTCACACTGTACAAGGTGGACTTCTGACCTGTTAGCACAGTTCTCTCCACAGATGGGCTGCCTGTATACTCTCACATAGATGTGTTGTGCTTGGCATGAACTCTGCAGTGCTGTGTGTCATTGCCAGATGTGGTACCTTTTTCAGTCTATTTGTTCAACTCTTTCAAACGTATTTATTTTGTGGAGAAACTGACAAAAGTCAAGAAAGTGATCTGAAGGTGCTCTACAAGAAATGAGGTCAGTGAAATACTTAAACCAGATGACTTGCTAATATTACCAGATGACTTACCAGTGTGAAAATGTTCCTCTGTCCATAAAGAATATGTCCATCTTTTATTACAGCCAGTACGGGGTTGTAGTGGTCAGGTGGAGATCACTAGCTAGAGCCATTAACCTGTATTTTAGGAGAGCTGAGAGGAGAGCAAGACTCCACTGATACTTGGTTTATTGCACATTCAGACTTATAGAGCACAGATGAGTGTGTGTCAATAACACAGCACTGTAACAAGTGTGACCTGGGACCTCACAGTGCATTAGATCTTATCAAGTACTACTACAGTAATACACTTGTAGTAGTGACTGTTACAACTAACATGTCTTCATGAGGACAGTCATTGTCCTGATGAAGACAGTTTATGCTTAGAAAGAAACAAAAAAAAAAAAAAGACTATTTTGTTCATAATCATCTGAAGTCAGAGTTCACTCAGTCCTCTTCCTCTTTGTAAGGTTTTCAGTAAAAACACTTATAATACAAGATTAAACTTGATTGAACTTGATTTGTCCCTAATATGGTTACTATAGAAACTCCAGCACTTATGTTAAAGTCTCTGGACATGTGCAGTTTTCCATTGGAGCGCAGGTTCCACATGGGGCAATGACACAGTCCTGTTTGATGAGCTGTACAAGACGTACACGTGGATCCACAGGTCTCACTGCATCGTGCTGCTCCTCCCACTGAACCCTGTGTGTGCTGTTACTAACTCCGCCCTCCTCTGTCTCCAGGTGACAAGGACGTAGATGAGTACTACACCCGCAAACGCCACCTGCCTGACCTGGCAGCCCGAGGCACACTGCCCCTGCATGTGCTCAAGATGAGCCAGGAACTGGTGCGTACACACTCAACTATGACAATCACCACAGCATAGAGATAAGACATGTTTGAGAATCCCATTAGAGGGTGTGTTGCTCCCCAGCACACACTGGAACAACAACAAATAAACAGAGAACACAGAATGAGGAACCTAAAACAGGCAGCAGAGTTCGCACTGACTCCAGAGAAAGCAGGGATATGTCTGAAAACATCTCCATAAGTAATGCAGTAAGACGAGCTGACGAGTGTCCAGCCTGGCTCTGTTACAGTTAATTTTCCTCTGAAATTAAAGAAATCGTATCAATAGCATGAGGCCTCGAGCATCCCTTTGATTCTAAGGGGACAAGTCCTGTAATTCTGCAACTTACAATTCAAAAGGAATATTTAATAAAATTCTTACACATCAAAGAGTTTCTTTTTTATAGTGAAGAGTCTAACCCTCTGCTCCCGTCCACAGCACCGCGAGCCACAGCAGCACCAGAGCCAGCCCCCTCAGCAGTCCATGCCTCAGGCTCCGCCCCCCTCACAGGGGTCTCAGCAGTCATCCCAGCAGAGGCAGAGGCCGCGCCGTGTGCAGAGGGCCATGTCCCAGGACAGAGTGCTGACCCCCCAGAGCGCCCCCCAGCAGGACTACAGCATGTCGCCCAATGGCATGTCCCCATACGGCGGGCGCATCCTGTCCGACGAGCAGCTGCTATCAGCGGAGCGCCTGCGCTCTCAGGAGCGTCTGCTTCCTCAGGACCGCCACACGTCCCAGGACCGCCTCTACACCAAGGACCGCATGATGTACTCTAAAGAGCGCCTGTCACAGGAGCACCTGTACCCCAAAGACAGGCACTACTCTCAGGAGCGCCTCTACTCACAGGATCGACTCTACTCACAAGAGCGCCTCTACTCCCACGACCGGCTGCTGTCCCAGGACCCCCTCCTGTCCCCAGACAAACTTGTGATGTCCCTGAAGCGTGGCATGGTCAGCAGCATCTCGGGCGGGGGTTTTAGGGGCAGTGACAAGTCCATCTCACGTGCCATCTCTCACACCGATGTCTTCATGCCCACCACACCCATCATGGATCGCTACAAGATGACCAAAATGCACTCCCACCCCAGTGCCTCCAACAACGGGAGCGGAGGGGGCGGGTCAGGGGGAGGCGGAGGAGGCACTGGTCACTCCAACACTTTAGCCATGAACCAGACCGCCTCCAAGAGACAGGCCTTTGCCTCCAGACGGACTCACACTGTGGAGCAGCTCCACTATGTGCCGCAGCAGCAACACCACCAGCAGCAGCAGGCCCAGACACAGCACTACCGCACAGGCAGCAAGACCGAGGTGACTGTGTGAGCAGCCGCAGCTGCCCTGGGGCAGGCTGGGGACTCGGGCCTGCTGCTACATCACTGACTGTCTTTGACTGAGGTTTCCTGTGACGTCAGAGATTTGGGACTATCATGAGCCAATAAGAGACCGAGACGAGCTCCACTGCTGAGGGACACGGCCCGGCGATGGGCCAGAGAAGGTCTGCTGATGCCTCCATCCCTCTGTGTTCTCTCCATCCTGGGCTAGGGCCTTGTGCTGTCTGTGTAGTGAGCAGTGTGTGTGCGCCGCTCCTGTCTTACAAATATGTCTGTGACCTTTTCTGGCTGATCTAAGGGCTGTGCACGTGCAGCAGCACAGGGGCGTCCTTGTCTTCACTTTATACATATATAAATATGAGCATTTGTACTCGTCCACCATAGCTCTAGAATCTCCATGAGACAGACTCACCTGATCTTCTGAAGGCGCTCCATGAGACAGACTCACCTGATCTTCTGAAGGCGCTCCATGAGACAGACTGACCTGATCTTCTGACCATGAAACAGACTGCCCTGATCTTCTGATTCTCACATGGTTCTGTGGGTTACAAAGCACAATCAATCAAAGAAAAGATCCATCAGTTCCTTTGCGTTCCAATAGTGATGGCTAGCTTGTTTTGTTCTTCAAGGGATGGCAGATTCCTTTCTGTTGCTTCCAGTAGAAGATTGTAAATACGCTATTTTAGAAGCCGTATTATGGACCAGTACCAGTTGGACTTTGTATTAGGCTGTCTGTTTTCAATAGAATCTTTCAAAACCACTATAAACTCATCAGTGTTGTGAGCTGAGAGTAGAGCCCACATAACCCAGCAGAGGATCCTAAAGTGTGTGAGCTGTAGGACAGTGAAGACCATGCTCCCCACAGACATGGGCTCTGGTGATGACGCTTGTCCAAGTAGGGTCAAATAAACCATCCATATTTTTGTAAAACTGTTCCTCAGCCTTGTGTGTGTCCTTTCTCTGTCTCACTAAATCCACTGTGTATCCACTGTTTTATTATAGCAGCAACGGTCTTCCTTAGAATGAGTTGAGGTTAACTGGGAGGAGCAGACAGGAGTGGGTATGAAGCTTGAAGGTTAGACTATGGCATCATCAAATCCTACAACATGAATACAAACCTCTGAAATCAATGCCATATGATTAATATTGCAGGTGTGTGGATCCAACCCATAGAAAATAAGATTCAAGATTTATTTGAAATTCTATTTGTGATCTTTCTCCCACTTATAGAGTTATATAGGCCTTCTAACTACGTCGTGGCAACTATAGCAAACAATAGTTTGCTATAGTTGCTGCTACAAAGCCGGTGTTCATTTTAGACAAATGAACACCGGCTTTGTAGCAGTTTATGACAGTCAGAAGGTTCTACTGTAGCTGTGGTGACACACAGGTACGAACATGAGGAAGAAAGAAAACGTACTGAAGTGTGTCGTGCTAAATGTCCTTTTGTCATAATGATTGTAACAAAAAGTTGAACTTAATATCACAGCATGAGGCAAGCCAACACAAGAATGTATTATATATGCTACTCTGAAAAACCAAGGCTGTTTTGGCGACTGACATCCACTTGACTGCAGGTGAGTTCCTTCAGGTGGTACTTAAGAGCTCTTCAGTTTGTGCATTTGTCTCATTTAGAGTTCATTTTATGCATTTTTACTACAGTGGAAATTATGTCGACTTTTAGATCTGGTTTTAGATTAGACCTGGAATACTCATGGTATAGATCTGGTGGCACTCGGAAAGATGCTTGGAGTGAAAAGTTTGAGAGCCCATGATCTTTTCTAGACAATATTGCTCCAGAAATATAGCAGGTCACACGGTTTGGCCATGACATCTTCGTTTTATTTAATCAAGCACCACATACCCACTATAAATGAGTGAACTTTACAATAGATTACATTACACATTGCTAAATGTAATGAATATATAAACAACCAATTTGTGTGCGCCGCCTGTAAACATCAGAATGAATGTGTTTATTGTGCTGCCTCATTAAAATGAATTGGACAGAACAACAGGCGCGTAGGACTGTGTTTGCAGCTATTCTAAACCTGTCAGTCCAGAAGCGTCTATGGCACAAGAACAGTTCAGTGTTTCTGTTTGAAATCACATGTGCAATAACATTGAGATTTCGATAGTAATAGCAGACACATGCACTGGATTGTAGCCATCAACTGTTGTCCAGGATTCACACTAACATTCACTTGTATACAGATCCTCGGGAGGCAAGGTGGGTCTTGCTTGGTGACACAACTGCAGTTTAAGATGGAATTGAACCACCAGCCATGACATTAAGGCTGCGTTCAGACTGCAGCCTGAAGTGACCCAAATCCAATTTTTTTGGCCCTTATGTTCCTGTATCTGATCTTTTAATGACAGTCTGAATGACACAGATCCAATTTTTTCAAATGTGACCCAGGACACTTGGATATGTGCTCCTGAAACCGATACATATCTGATCTTTTGACATGCGACTTCAGTCTGAACGGCCAAAGTGCATTCATCTGACCTACACGTTATCAACAAGCCACAAACGTCACTATTCTGCACTGAAGTAGGCAAAAATTGTTAATGAACTCCGTGTCACTGAAGCGAAGCACATCACCACTCACCACTCTTGGCTACGTCTCCACATCCACATGTTCCTTTCAACGGACTGAACCACAAAACACCACAGCCAAAAACCTCGTCCTTCTCAATCTCCTCTTTAAAACAAGTAAGTTGTTCATGTTCTGGCTCTGGTACGAGAGGAACTTTAAAATCTCCAGGTGCTCGATGCTGCGTCCATGTTTGGACAACTTCCATAAACACAGAGCACGCTCGCTGAGGTTGACGTCGTCATGTCTCCAGTGCACATGTGGGACACTTTTGGGCCGTTTAACGTTCACACTGGAGTCACATACAAGTCACATTTAATTGGAAATGTGAACGACCTCACAAAAACATTGGATTTCACCAAAAAATCGGAATTGAGCGTTAAGCCCTGCAGTCTGAACGTAGCCTTAGTTACAAAAGAGCATATTATATGGAAGATAATTTGTTCCATCAGATTCTGAATTTCAAATACCACTGAATTTCTCACTTAGAATTTTTTAACTCTGAAAAAAGATGTTTGAACTATTTTTATTCAGAATTTTAGTTAGATATTTTCAAACCCTCAAATTTAACAGCAGAAATTCAGAATGTAAAATTCGCAGTGAAAAATTTCACAGCAAAAATCCAAGATGCCAAGGCAGACGCAATCGATCATGTGAGTGAAGAGGACAGAGGCTGCTTCCTATTGGCTGTTCTCATCTGTGGGCGGGGTTTACACTTAATCAATGAGATGAGGTTACGATGAGGCTAATTCTGACCAATCAGATGGCTTCACTGCCCCATTTCCTGTTTGTTACTAAGTTAGATCAGATCACTTTGGATCGCTTGCTTCTGCCTTGGCATCTTGGATCTTTACTGTCAATTTTTTTCACTGCGAATTTTACACTCTGAATTTTGACAGTTGAATTTGAGGATTTGAAAATATTTGTGCTGAATATTTAAAAGGTGATTTTTTAATATTGAAAATGTACACAACTAAAATAAATAATAATAAAAATAATAAAAATAATTCAAACATGTTTTTTCAGAGTAAAAAATTTCAAACTTTGAATTTCAACAGCATTTAAAATTCTAAATCTGATGAAACAAATTATCTTCCATAATATTAAATGACCATAAATAAAGTATGTAAAATGCCATTAAACGTGTGCTCGCATCTGCTCTGCAGTTATAATCTTTGACAACCGTGGATCATTCTGTTATAATTTACAAATTTTAAATTGCAATACTCATCTGAAACATCTTAATAAAAGAAACAATTTGGCTGACTTCTGCTTAAGAAAACTGTGGTGTCTAATGGGAGCTGACGTCGCTGTAAACATCAACATCAACATGTCGGGAGAGAGCCATGGTCTGTGTTTCATGTGTGGCTGCACAATGCAATGCACAAAAGAGTTCAGGGCAGCGGGTGAATGCTGGTGGCGGTGAAAACCGGGGTTACTCTGCAATATGGTGTCTTAAAATAAGTGGTTAAAGATTGTTCAAACATGCATGAATCACTCCAAGTGTAAATGCGAAGGGGAAACAGCGATAACATGGTTAAAAGCTCTGAAAAGTCCATTTTGAATTTTTTTGGACAACGGTTGTGCATTAAGTGAAATAAAACAGTCAGATACGTCAAACTTTATTCAACTCATTCACAAAAACTCTCAACATTGTACAGTTATTTCACATACACTCACTTTTTCAGTTCATTCCTCTTCCACAAATTCATCAAATTCTTCATCTTCAGTGTCTGAGTTTAACAGTTGGGTGATTTTGGCATCCAGTATGTCCAGATCCCTCTCGTCATTAACCGAGTCAGTCTCGTCGCTGTTACTTCGCTGTTCAGTGATGATTCTGGCCTTCGTGAAAGCTCGGACGACACACGAGACTGACCCTGAGCCCAGACATTCATGATCCATTGGCAGATCGTGGTGTAACTCGCCCGGCGTTGCCTCCCTGTCTTGGTGAATGTGTTTTACTCCATGAGGCTCCTGACTTCAAGAACCGTAATCCTTTGACAATCCATCAAGCGGTGCAGCTTCGTAAGCTTATCAAAGTCGTTCTAAAACATTTTGACAGATTTTTGAGCGCCGTGTACCACTTAAAATCTATTCGAGGTCAGTAAACACTACCAGAATTAATACAAAAGGCGCACTGTCGATTTTTGTTGATTTTAAGTGCACCTTATAGTCTAAAAAATAAGGTCTTAGCTCTGCTCTAATGAATCAGAATCAGAAGTGTTCTTTTGTCTCTTAGATGTTCTTAAATATTATAATATTAACTCATAACTTTAGAGTGAAATATTGAATATAGACTTAAAAGGATGTTCCAGACTGGAGCTGCCCCTGTGTAACCGGGTGGGAGCTGCTGGCGATATCCACCCAGCACTTTAATCAACATTCCTCTTCAGTT